GAGGGAGGTTCGACTCCTCCTGGACGGTCACTTGCGTATCGTCGGATTTCTGACCATCCGGCTTGGTAAAGGAGATAGACTCGAGAAGAGTGTCATCGTTGAGATCCAGCTTCTTCGGGACAGAGGGCTTGTCGTCCGATTCCGCGGCGGCATCGGCGCTCTTGGCCAGGATGACCAGCTGACTGATATCACGGTCCTGGAACTTGGTTCTCTTTCCGAGCTTACCAGTCAGGGCGAACTCGAATTTCCGTTCCGCGGCAGCCTGTTCGAGATCCTTTCTGGCCTTCGCATCAAAGCTGTGGTGGGTATGAATGGTAGCCCTTTCGAGAAGGAACCGACCCTTCTCCTGTGCAGTGCACTTGTCGCTCAGGACCAGCTTTTCGAGCTCCTCCAAATCGGCATAGATGGAATCTTGAAGCGCGCCAGTGACTTCCGACAGCATCTTCTGGTGAAGGAAGTTGACACGGACCCTCACAGTCCTAGCCACCAACGGACCGTTTGTCACCAAGGCATCAGCATCCACCAGCAGAGCCTTTGCCACAGCGAACAGTTCCACATTAGGAGTGAGCTTGTAAGCGGCCTCACCGTCCACCGAAAGGTCCCGGATGACATGATCACGGACGGCACGGAGGGCCGCTTTGTCCGACCGCAGAGCAGCAGGAATGACAACATCTGCAGGGCTAAACTCCAACGGAGGACCAGTGACATTCGACTGCAAGAAGCCGAACAGAGCGGCCAGACCGATATGGAGCAATTGAGAGCGCTGTTGCTCAGAGGTCAAGCCATCTACTGGTGTCTGGGCGACAGCCTTTGCCTTTTCCGTCAAGAAAGTAGTGTAGGAGATTTCTTTGCGAGAGACACGGCCGAGAGCCTCCGAATCTGCCGCATCATGTCCGAAGACTGCCATTGCGGAGGGCAGCTGCAGGAGGGGCACTATATCCGCATCTGCCAGGCGGATGGGGTCATATTGTTCCCGAAGCGCGGATGACTCGTCGAACAGGGTGTTCAGAGACGCGGGGTAAGTGACAGTAGCGTCGGCCATAATGATTGTCACGGGGTATCGTTGAATGCGTTAAGAGAAGAGCGAAAGTAGCTGTGATGCTGGAAATCAATGCGATTTTCCAATTAGGCTTCTATGCGACTGAATTAATGAGACGGCAAGAGACCCTCAAGTCGGGGTTACTGGATAAATTGACAGGAACGATAGTCTCAGTATAACATGTCCTGTGCGTCCCTATATGAGGATACTACCCCGCAGACCTGATGCCAGAGGAGAAACGTCCAAAGGAGCAACTGGGGAAGATAAAAGAAGGACTGAACGCGAGACCGCGAGAACCCCGCCATCCCGCTTGGTGCCTTTTTTGCACTTTTTTCTGCCGGTTTATCGATAAGCCATCTCCAGGCGGTGACGCTTTATACCGGGACGTGGCATTATGCTATCCCTGCAAGCAGCACCCTTCCCACCGCCATCGTTGCTATGGCCACGCACTTTTACACTCGCAAACGCACTATATGATCAATGGTCAATTTAGGCAGTAAGACCAGGAGATGATGATTGTATTCAATTGTACAGCTATTCATCTGTCGGGTATATCGCCATCCGACTAGCCGTCAAAATCCATTATATGTGCCCTGGGGGTATCTGCAAATACAGACGTCAACGCGTTAAACATCCAAGCAAACATGCTCAAACACCGCAGCCCTGCCGTATAAACAATGCTCCTTGATTTACAAGAGCCAACCGGTAGCAACAATAAACAAGAATCGCTGTATCGCTCCCAAAAGCCTCCACGAATCCGGGGATTCGGACCAGGCATATGTACCATAACATTCCCTCATATCACGCCTAACAGAATTCACCAGTCCTGGCCACGATCTTTCATCAAGATCTCGATAGCCTCATCTTCCGGGACAGGGTTTTCATTCAATTCTTTGACACATTGTGTCAGCCCCTCGGCAGCTTCATCCACCTGTTCGGCAGTCCATCCCGTACAGGCCATGACCATGCGCCGGTAGTTCTGGCCCAAAACCACGTTTTTAGACTTCAGGCGCTCGACCTCATTCAATATATCCTCATTAAACTTTTGATAACCCTCGACCTTTTGTTGTAGGGTTTCGGGTGTGGGGAGAGAGCGAAGGAAGGCCATCTGCTGCTCGGAAAATCCAGAGGCAGGGTCGAATGTTTCGGGGAAGATGGCCTCGAACTCGGCAATGTCGAGCCCGTGTTCTTTGTCGGCGTCCCCAATCGCGCACTTCTTCGACAAATCTAATGAATCGCCCTGGATCCCCTTCAAAATCACCAGCAGGTCGTCAGAGGACTTTTCCAGGTTTTTAAACCGTCTGCTAAGCTCTATACGGTCGGACGATTTGGACTTGAGTTCATCGAGCTGTTTTTGCTCGATCTGTCGTGCTTTGGCCGACTCTCGAATCTTCGAGTGCCAGTGGTCGAACTTTTCTTGCTTCTTAGCCAGGGTGGAGGCCAAATCTCTGTCAAGACCACTCAATGTCTCTTGGACAATTGATGTGATTTGAGACACAGTCGCTTTCTAAGTCAGTTTTGATGCGCAGCTTTCATCCAGGAGCACTTACAATCCAATATTTCTTTCTTCGTCTTCTCCAGCTGGTCCATGAAGGAGTCACCCCCGTTCCCAGCTTGCTGCGACTGAGCGTTACCGTCAACCATGTCTACACCAACACCGTAATCTGCTGGTCGAAGACCTGTGTGATTCGGTATATGAGGATCAGCCCCGACTTCTAATAGTTGGGGAACAAGCACAGAACGTGCACGCCCAGCCAAGTTGAGGGCTGTATCCCCTTGGTCATCTCGGAGATTTACTATTTCAGAGATGAAACGCCCGAGCGTCATGACTTCACCAGCCTGTGATAAACCTTGCCCATTTTCCGAGGCACCGTTCGGCGTTTGCCGGCTCAGCGACGTACCACCATGGCGGACTATGAATTCCAGCAATGCTTCCAGGTAGTGTTTAGCAGAAACGTGACCTCCACCACCGGTAGCAGCCATAACAGCGATGTGGTGAAGGATCGTTCTCCCGCTGTAATCGACCATGTCAATAGTTGGAGCCAGCACCTGCAGTAAACGCGGAAAACTCCTATAATCGAGATTATTTCTCGTTCCTACGGACTTTTGCAGTGCCGTTTCGCCTGCACCGTTCAAACGGAAGATGCTAACTCCTTTTTCGACAAGTGCATAGACAAGAGGCATCCGAGCGAGCATCGCCGCCCAGTGTAGCGCATTGTTCCGATATTCGTCCAACGGAATTTCCAAATCCTCCCCAGTCAATTGCATCAAAGCTGGATGGCTGGAAAAATCGCGGGTCTTTTTGTCGAGGAATAATGTCATGATGAGCTTCATCTTCTGAAACCTCTCCGGGGTGGTGGCGGGCGGCAAAGGCTCAAACCCGCGCTTGCTACCATCCACTATCGATGTTGAAACGTCCATATCTTGGTAAAAGGAGTCATTCGGCTCAGTTGGTGTTGGTTCAGCCATGGAAGCCGTCGAGTGCTCGTAAGGCATCCCAAACGACGGCGCCTGGTGAGATGTAGACCGAACGCGCTTCCGCGGAGGTTCATTTGCCTCCTCGTGGTCGAAGCTGGCACCGTCGTGCATAGCATAGCGGCCGTTGCTCTGGAAATTGTTCCCGAAACCGCTATCAGACGTCACACTATACATGCTTTGTTGACTGTTCAGAGGTATGTGGGTATCTTGGCTGCTCATCTGGTGCGAAGGCTTTCGTATAACACTTGATCGCCTTTGATCAATTCCGCGAGCGGCAGGCGAGTCAAAGCGAGCCTTGCTCATGGCATTCACCGCCGTCGCAGCCGTGCGAGAGATGTTTTGGAAGAATGTGCCTTGTTGAGGTTGGCTCATGCCGCGGTTATCCATCCCGCTGTACAGGCGTTTCCGTTGCGCAGCCATTGCTTGCTCCTTTGTTGGGGTGTCAAGTGAGTCCTGCGCCGTACCATTTGTGCCGCCCATGTCATATTCAAGAAGGGGTCGCAGCAATTCTTCGACGTGGTATTCACGACAGAGCTCCACACCCCTCTGATAGTTGACCCAGGTTCCTTGGTATTTACCATACCCTCCTTGAACCTTCTCATGCTCGCCAGCTGCAATCTCTTTCTCTAGTGTCTTTGTCCTCCTCGCCTTGACCACACCGGCAACCTTGAGAATCTGCGTAGCATTGAGCCACGAGTCGGAGCGACGTTTCATCACGGCGACTCCGTTCACTTCCATTTCGTAGACGGAGACGTTAGAGTACACAGCCTGTTGACACAGCAAAGCGAGTCAGTTATTTTTGAGGGAGTGAAGATGCGCAGATGACAATAAACTGACCCTGTAAATTTGAGGCTTGAACTCTTCATGATACATTATTGTTCCATACCCATTCATGTCCTCAAAACCTGCGAAACTTGACCGAGGGCCGTGCGAAAGGCCATTCGAGTAACCAAAGGACATCGACTGTTGCGACCCTTTCGGAGGAGGCGTAGCTCGAGGGGTGGAGGAGACGGACTGGGAGGCGTTGAAGGAGCCCATTTGCGATTGTGAAAATACCATGCCATTGGCGGAGCTCATGCTGCTCTGAGAGTAGGACATGGGTAAGCCTGGGCGAGCTGGGTGGTTGTTATTGGAGGCCATTGAAGGAACGGTGAATTAGCAGTGTTAGGGTGCCCGACCCAGACACCGACTCAAGGCTGGCTGCTCTGTCGAAGGAAAAATTAAAAAAAGGTTAATAAATACGAATTGCAGGTACCACAAGCCAATAGCAGGGCCAGTTCAACAAGTGAACAGCATCATGACAGAATGAGAGAATCGCGAAAGCATGTGGGGAACTGCACCTATCCTGGGATCTACTGCTCCAGTCTGACTTGACCGGCCAGGCAACTCGGAACGTCGCGCGAAAAGAGAGAGGCGCGTGGCTAGCGCACCGACCGCGAAGGGATGAGACAAGTCAATGAGACTGATTCTGGCGAGGCAGTCGGGTCCTGAACGGCCCGGAGTAATTTACAAGTAGTGCAAGAGCCACTCTATCTGCAGCTCTTTCAGGTAATCCTGTACAACATAGCCTTGCATGAAACAAATGGGGGAAAGGAACGAGATGAATGAGTTGATTGAAGTCGCGGGGGCGTTCGTTATTCGCTCCGGTCGCGTTCGCGGCTAACCCGATTTCGCGTATCGCTGCCTCGAAAACATCTATTGCCTGTTTGGGTGTTGTATCTTCACCGCCTGCTGCTTCTGTCTGATAGCCTCGCGGTGCTGCGGAATCAACTCCGGGCTTGCAGAGGAATTGATTAGAAGATAAAGAAAGGCATAACATCAGACACCATGTCTGCCATTCAGATCCCTCCCGAAACATGGCGGCATCTTCTACGCTCCTTACTCCGCGAATGCTCCTACCTCCCTGACCCTGTCGCCAGAGTTACATTTCATGCTCAGATCCTCCAACGATTCCGACGGTATACCCAGAAGAAAGAGACGGATCAACATCGACTTCTATTACTCCGGAAGTCGGCAACACACCAACTGTCTCTGCTCAGACGAGCCAATGAGGGATATACAAAGCCACTGGAAAAGGTCTTGCAGCAGGCTTATGGCCGCAGAGGGCGACGGAGACAAGAGCTCATACAAGCATTGGTCACACCAGCGGACGCAGTGGACGCATTGAATGCGGCGGATACGCAGACAGTGGCACCGGAAGCACCAGAGATGTTCGAGGATGGATGGCGGCCTCCCTCAGTCATGGTTGATCTTTTGAAAGCCCAGAACCGTAACTCGATGATCACGACGCTGAATGCCGGCTACTACACTAAGCAAGTCGAACCAGTTGTTCCCGCGGAGAATATCTGGGGGAAGCCGCTCGCTCCATCTCGCCGCAGGAACATTCGGAGGAAATGGTACAATCAGACGCTACATAATCTGTTTCCGCCACTGCCTGACTCGGAGCTCAAGGTGTTGGAGGGTCTTATGTCGGGGACTATACCATGGACGCCGCCCAAACGACGAAAGGCAGTTGGGACTTCTTTCGCCCCTGAGTCTACTCTAGATGCTGGCTTTCTGACAGAGGGACCGCAGAAGGGTGATACATTTGAGAATTATGTTGACGGACGACCCCATAACATCACCCGACGGTTCATGCAGAGGCTCTGGAAACGCATATCCTGTCTAGTTCCTCGCGTGAATTGGGATACTAGAAGCGGAAAGCCTGCATTCACCTGGGATGTACTCTACTCAGGACCTAAGCTGGCCCTGAAGTTGGACGAAAGCACAGCGTCTGAGCTCTTCGCAGGCATCGATGCCAATGGTCGAATGATCAAAGATCAACCAAAAGAAGCGTCAGGATGAATATTAACCACTCAACATAATCAATCATGGAGTATGTGACAAAGGACACAACACACAATTCTCGAACAATTCCAAACAAGATGGACCGTAAACGAGCCGCCAGTCACAGTCACGAAAAGTGCACCATCCCATATATGTCAACCCAGGGTCTCACATTGGGACCACACCACATCCTCCCGTTAGCTACATTCTCAAGCTCGAAGCCATTCGGCCAGAGCTTCTCCATCTCAAGTCTAAAGGCGTCCTTCGGCTCTCCATTTTTGATCCTCAACTTCTCAAAATACACATACGAGGCATAGAATACCGTCCCTGAGCTCCCAGCGGTAGGGCCCTTCTTCTTGAGAAACTCCCCGAACGAATTCGCATTCAGCCTCTTCGTACCCTGCGGGTACGCCGCCTTCGCAACATCTCTCATGAAGCCCGCCTGCGTCACTCCGGTCTTACGCAAATGCGCCCGGATTTTCCTCCTCACCACATCGCACGTCTCAAAGACCTGCACACTCCCATCCTCATCTCCATCCAAGTGAACACCCGAAAGATCAACCGCGGCCGGACTCGCTGGCTGATTCTTCTTCGGCCTCTTCGGGGCACTTCCTGCCGCAGTTGCCGCAGGCTGAGTCTCAGCCAACGGCACAACAGGTCCCCCGCTCCGGCTGTCAAAAAACTTCAGGGCGTTCTTATACGTCGCCGACCGGGCGCCCTTGACGCCCTCCTGGCTCAAAAACTCAGAATATGACCGCGGAGACACGTTAATTGCGCGCTGGAACTCGTTGGCGTTCATCTGTCCTGAAGCGATGAAATCGCGTATCTCCTGCCGAATCTCGTCGCAGCTTTTCTGCGTATTTCCAGACGGTGATGCTGTTCCTGCCGCTGGCTGATTCTCTTTATCATGGCCAGTAGCGATCGCAGGATCCATCATATCAGTGGAGGTCCTCTTTTGCGCAGGCATATTTAGTGGACAATCGTTCGACACGATCTAATAAGTCAATGAATATAACGCCTAGGTAATATATATAAGAGGCACAAGAAACCCAAAATGAAGGACGAATCCCAAGTAGTCAAAATAGTAAACAGAAATACGCGCCGACGCGTCCACTGCAGTTCAGTGAGCAAACGGACGGATCAAGCCCATGAATCCCTGTTCAATAGTAAGCGCTGTACTCCGTAGAAACATCATGGTAGTCCGACGGGCAGTGGCATGAGTGGAGCGATATGCTCGTTCATTATTGGTCCGTAAATGGAGATGATCAACAGTCAGTGTTGAGGTATCACATCTTCTGTGTCAGGGGATAGTGGTATCTATTGAATTGACACCTCTGTTATGAGAGGGGTTTGCTTGATTGTTTGACGGGGAGTGGTTGCTGGTTCAGATGTTTGCGAGGATTGAGGTTGAAAGTGACGGTGATGTCTTTTTCAGTATCTTGTGTAGCCTTCTGAGCATGATATACCTCTTGGTTTTCGTGGTGGGTAGGTAGGGGTCACTGGTGGCAATTTCTAAGCAAACATCGTCTAAAGCAGAGTGATTTATAACACATCTGAGCATACTCCGTAGCATTGAGCATGTTGATGTAGGAGACTACTTACTACTAACCAGAGAGCGAACCCGAAAACTACTACTAATAAGCAAGGATAAAGAACCATTCAACATAGAACATCGATTTGCAAGGCACACGCATACAATACTTAGCTCTGAACTCCCAAAACAATTGCGCCTTTTCCTACCTAGCGGATTGTAAATCGAATGTAAAAAGAAAAATCAGACCAGATCATAGTGCAAGCCATCCATCAATCCATCACACATCACTTTACTGCCATCTTGTCTGTTCCTGTCAGATACATCCTGACGGTTCATTCATCCCATCTTCTCCTTCACCACTCCTGTCCAGCCCTATGATATTGTACAATACAATGGATATTATTGAAAAAGCAACCCCGGTCGGCTCCTTCGTCCGGTCGTTAGAAATGAAAGGAAAGGGTTATTGAATTTCTCTCCAACTGTTGGAAAAAAGCATGTCATCATTGGCGAAACATTCCCTTTTCATAGGTACATTACAGGTCCAACGTCTTGTAGTCAGCGCCTGTTTCTGCACTCAGCGGCTGCACGCCTCTAACGTCACCTCCTGCCGGTTGGAAGTTATAGCGGTTGCCGATCCCGGTCGTAGCAGCATCGGCAAGCATGTTGTTGGTCTCCTCGCCAGGGCCCCGAAGACTGACGGCCTGCAGAGTGTCCTGGACCTCCTTGACGCGCTTCTTGAAGGCCATACGGTCGAGGAAGAGCTGCTGGCGAGCGAGCTCAAGTTCCCGGCGTTCGGCTTCGATGATCTCCTCCATCTCGTTAAACTGCTGCAGCTTGATCTCGAACTTCTGGAGGGTGACGTTGACAGCCGATGAAACCAGGCGGGTCATTTCACGTTCTTCGTGAGAAGCCAGGGCGCCAGCACGAGCGGCGGAGGCCGCAAGGGCCACGGTGGGAAGGGAAGCCTTGCCCTTGTCGGAGCCAGCAACCTCGACGGCTTGCTCGGTTGCTTCCTCGCGAGCAGAGTCCACTTCCATAGAATCCTCGGCCTTAACTGTGGCACTGCCTTCCTTCTCCTTGCCCTTGTCTTGGGCTCCAGAGCCCTTCTCGAGCTGCTTTCTCAATTCCTTGCGGATCTCCTCCACGGAGCGGCCGGCGGCAGCTGCGGCCACGGCAGGCTCGGCCATCTGTGCAAGGAACGCAACCACGGACAGGACAGGATTCTCGGTCTGGCTGATAGGCTCCCGCCCATTGCCTGCACGAACCTCGGGCATATCATCCAGATACTTGTCTTCGATCTCCAGCTGCAAGAACTTCATCACGCACTCCTCCTTTGTCCTAGAACCAACGTGAGTGGCAATTTGTTCCCAGTTGTCGTCGAAGTTTTCCAATCCCTCCAGCAACAGCACAAGCTCCGAATCCGACCACGGAGCATCCCGGTCGGGGGCAATCGAGTATGGGCTGTCTTCGAGCTTGACGAAGTCGGAAGCACTGTGGCTGGACGGCATCCGGCCCTGAAGGAAACAGTTGGGGCACAGGTCGTACTTCGTGTCAGGTGCAGCTGGGTTGGCGGTTGCCGGGGTCGCCTTTGCGTAGTGGAATCTGAGGCGAGTACAATCGATGCCACAGGAGAAGCAGTTGAACTTCTTTCTCGGTTCCTTGGAAGTGCTCTCCATTGCCTTGGTCGAATCGCCCGTCGTACCGTTCGTTGAGCCTTCGCCATTGGTCTGCTTGTCTTTGTCCTCCGTAGCAGGGGTGATCTCCTTGCCCTTGTCATCATACACATTGCGACGGATCTCGAGGTTCAGGTCCGCCTTGGCAGCCGGGGTGGCTGATGCTGCACGATCCGTGGCCGGCAAAGGCTTTCCGGGCTTGACGAAGTGGTTGGGTCCGGGCTGGAATGGCTGGAGGCCTCTGGGGGTATCGGCGACCACTCGGAAATGGCCAGTGAAAGGAGGGCCGATGTTGGACGGACGTGTTTGGGGATCCACCTGAGTCAAGGCATCAGCAACTCGGGTCTGAGGTCGGCACCGGGCGGATACTTACCTGGTAGTTGATGAGACCCCATTGCTCCAGGAAGGAGTGCACGCGCATGATCGCACAGACGTCTCCGGCAAGGTTGCGGCGGCAAGCAGTGACTGTGAGGTACTCGATAGGGTTCAAACGGTAGGTGTTGATCATGAAATCACGGTAATCTTTGTAAACTGCAGGGGTCTTGCTACGGTTTCTGCCGTTGAAGAACTCCGCCAGAGCCTTCTTCTCGATCGGGTGAATGAGGTGCATGTCGAACCAGGTGGAGTAGCTGGGGAGGATGATGGCGTGGGTTTGCGAAACAAGATGTGAGCGCGCGGAGGCTTCAATGGATGCCTTGGCCTGCGCCGGCTGTTCATCTGTAGCACCTTCAGCGCCGGACTGTGCGGCAACATCAGCGAGGTCCTCGCCTCCATCGGTCTCCTTCTTGGTCTCCGTCTCGGTGCCGCCCATCTCCTCATCCTCGGGTTCGCCATCGGCATTCTGGGGCTTGGGTGAAGCGGGGGCATCTAGCGGGTTATCAGTATCGGGGCCAGTCTCGGTCTTTTTCTCAGGAGATCCCTGATGCGATTGCGATCCTGGGTGTCACGATTGCGAATGTTGGCAAGTTCCAATCCCCTTAGGGGCGGAAAGAGGGAGAACGCACCGGAAGTGGTAATCACATCACCTGGGGCATCCTGTGCCATGTTAATAGCCTGAGCATCCTCAGTGGCGCCACCAGACATAACCTGGTTGTCCTCCATCTTGTTGGCACGATAGTCGACGACGGGAAGCTGAGGTCGCGGGTGGCAGAGAGCAAGGGACTTGGCTCTGCTCAGAAGAAAGGTAGGCGGGGCGCAGACGCGGCCCTCTATGTGATAGAGACGTGAAAGGAAAGGGTATTAGGGATATGCAAGATAGAATGGGGGTGGATGACTCCACCAGACAGCGACGAGAGATTGATGAATGGGTGGCTTGGAGGCAGAGCGACTGTCGCGACACGGACCGACGCTCCAAAAACTCGCGCCAAGACCCTCAGGTGCGCTAGCCGTATGTGGACTAGTCGTTACCGGGCTCTTCCCCATCGCGGATGGAGCTTCTTCTCTCCACAATATCGATCTATTCCCTACCAGCCCTACTCTGTTCTGACATTGCATCTATTCTACTGCTTCGGTTGCAGGATATCCAAGGTATGGGCAGCTTTATTGATTGTTTTCGAAATCTAATATACTACATACATGGTCCCCATATTCATGCTTCTCAAGTTCCCCTTAAGCCATTATTTTAAATGACACACCAAATCCAAATCCTCAGTGTGTTTCATTCGCGATTGCTTCCTTCTGTAGATTGGCCGTCTTAGAGATAGCCGGTCTTGCCTTGATTTTTTCCAGCCAGGCGTAAAGGTTCGGGTATTCCTTCTCCAGATCAACATCATTATCCGTAGCGGGTCCAAAATAATTGTACCACTGCACGAACGAGATGTCCGCGTAGCTATACCGTCCACCGACCAGATATTCCCTGTCTTTTAGGACGTTGTCCAGCACCCAGGACACCCGAAGAACCTCTTTCTTGTATCTCTCCTGCGCACTAGGAACCACTTCAGGGTGATGTCGTCGGAACCAAACAGCCTGACCGAAGTACGGGCCCTGCCCACTCATCTGGAAGTGTAGCCATTGTTTCGTTTCGAAGAACTCGGGGGTACCAGCCGGGAAACTGATTTTGTTGTCTTTGTCGTATGTTTCGGTCAGATATTCAATGATGGCGCCGGACTCCCATAGTGCGATTCCCGTGTTAGGGTCCTCAATGGCGGGGACGCGGCCGTTGGGGTTGACGAGGGTAAAAGGTTCTTTTTTGACGTCTCCAGAACCTACGTATCTCGTTTTGTAGGGGACTTCGAGTTCTTCGAGGACCATGGCCACTTTCCAGGGGTTGGGGCCCTGGGTGTGGCCCCATAGGGTGATGGGTTTCAGAGACATGCTGTCTGGGCGTTGGTAATTGTGGTGGATGCTGTATTGAGGGAATGCTGTGATTTCTGGTGTGTGAGGGTATTTTGGGTATGGGTATCTACTAGCAGATCTATGTATCCTTTTATATAAGATTCATCTACTCGTTCGATACCTTTCTACAGCTGTTGTCTCCGTCATAGACGATGTTGCTTAGAAACCATTTACTTCGGCCTCTGATCGTCAGCATATGTCGGTGTTTCGGCTCTTCGTATTCCTTGCTGACAAACCAATTGATAGCCAACAATGCCTCGCAATATCGCACCCAGAAAATTATATTGGGTCAGGGCTGCAAAATGTCAGAAGTATACGTTTCTGTGACGTATGCCTATATTGTTGACTGTTGATTTGTAAGACGGACAGGCAACTCCGTACATCAACTCCACCGGGTCAGGGACTTTCAAACCCCGGCAGATCTCATCCCCCTGGATCTGGTATTTCGGTTACTATTTTTGTTTCGCTTGCAATTGGTGGTTGTGTTCTTCAAGTAGTCGTGTCTGCTTATGTCTCTAATTGCATGGTATAGGTGGTGTATATGTCTGACGTAGTATACATTAAGGTGGACAAAAGTATCCCTTGTCAGCTCGTGCATAAGGTCACTACAAAGAGAGAGTCAAGCTATTAGGAATACGATTAATACCACTTCTTTCTGAGTCCTCTGATCCTCAGAGTACCTGTTTCTGTCCTATGCAAGGCGGGATAAGCTGACGGCCCCGCCTTGGCATATGGGTTCCAAATTGTATCTTATCGCAAGGTAATGGTGACATGTGAGGTCTTTCTGGTAGCTATATGCTTTTCACGATAGTGTTTAGGTTGCAGGAGTTACTGGCTTTCGGTACGAACATGGCTGTGAATCATTGAGGTGGTAGTACTTCAGATATTAAATTGCCGAGTCCAGTACCCTGAGCGGCCGAATATATATTAGTAGCCCTACTGCGTACTAGTATTCGAACCTGATAACGGCACGAAAGTGAAGAGTACAAGCAGGCCAACTCGCAGTGAAATCCGAAAAATTGCCCTTGGTATTAGAGCTAAATAGAGGCCAATATGATATGCGAAACCAACATATACAACCGAATGCGCCATGTAGACTTCGTACATACACAATCCCAGCTCAGTAGACTAACAGCGGAAGGATATGGCCCCGCTTGTAAAGCACAAGTTTTGCCACCTTGCCAAGCAAACGGGTCAATAGCTCAGTGGTACGAGCGAGAGATTGCAGATCTTTAGGTCGCGTGTTCGATCCACGCTTGGCCCTTGCTTTTTGCTTTTTGAACTTCATATACAGGTTGTCCTATATAAGAACCTATGGCCTGGGATTTTTTTTATTGCTACATCATACACAGCAAATACCTGAGCGGTAGCCCAATCTGCTGACACGTACCACTATGCATTGAAAGACGAGCTGAGAGACATATATACCCATGCGTAGAACTTCGCAGCCCTATTCAAGTAGTATACCACTTCGTGCACAACCTCACTCATCAGTTGGGAGAGATAAAACTTTCAAGGACTTATGAGAGTCTGTCACATGTGGTGTAGTCAATTGGAGGCTAAGGGAATTTGCAGACCTGAAAATTCCAAAGTCAGTAGTACTTGCTGGGTAACCCAGGGGAAGCCAAAACACACCCAGGAACCAGCGTAAATACAACAAATCCGAGGTTTTGCGTCATTTTGTCACTCAAAGCAATATAATACAAGAATACCATCGATTATTCAACAAGAAAGGGGCCGGTAGCTCAGGGGTAGAGCGTGGGACTGCAGATCTTAAGGTCACGCGTTCAAATCGCGTTCGGCCCTTTCTTTTTCTTTTTTGCCGCGCCGCTTTCTCCTCTTCTTCCTTGAAATCCCTTATGGCCAATTAAGATGAAGGGAATTCGACACCACTTTTTTCTTTTACTTTTTCTTTTTTTTTTTATTGCTAGTATGACTACTTCTACATTAGATACTATTCTAGTGAATGTGATACCACCCTAGTACTAGTTGAGTATCTTTGTAGGAGTACTACGGTTAGGGGATACAGCGGAAGTATATATCCGAGCGGGGCGATTCCGTTGGTCGAATGTTCTAAGTTCAATTTAATAGTGCTTACAAGGTAATTTCGAATTAGAGGGGTATTTTGCGAAATCAGTACTATGATGCCAATCAGTAAGTTAAGCAAGATGCAGTATATTCTGCTTTTCGTTCTGGAGGGGCTAGTTCAATGACTCGGCGTAGAGCATGCAGCGGACAGCTATCCCTTCCGCACATTAGTCCTTGGTACAACATAGTAACTTAATCAGTAGCATATGAGACCAGGTACAGAAATCTACAACTCAGAAAACACCGATCGCTACTACTTAGGAGAAAAAAATCATGCATCGTTGAAAATAGTCCATAACATTTTATCATTACTAGCGAGCCCATCACTACCCCCCTAATGAGCAGCAACAACACCCGCCTCATTAGCCTGAGAGCTAATCAACTTCTTATAAGCATTGACACTGCCATCAAACTTATGCACCGTACCGTTATCACAAACCCAGAGACTAGTGCACACATTCTGCAGCATGGTAACATCGTGAGAGACCATAACCACACCACCCTCGAAGTTCTGCAGCGCCTCGGACAGCGCATCCATACCCTCAATATCCAGATGGTTAGACGGTTCGTCCAGAACCAGGATGTGGGGGTTCGTCAACGACAGACAAGCAAAGGCAACACGGGACTTCTGACCTCCGGACAGGAGTTCCATGCGCTGGAGACCCGTCATACCAGTGATACCGAAGGCACCGAGGTGTCTGCGGTATTCTTCGTCTGTCTTTCCGGGGTAGGTCTTGGCCATGAAGCTGACGGCGCTAGTGGTCAGGTCCAGAGCGTCGACGTGGTGTTGGGCGAAGAACCCGACGCGCAGACGGGCGTGTTGCGAGAGGAGACCCTTCGTCGGTTGGAGTTGGCCGGTGAGGAGCTTCAGCACGGTAGTCTTACCGGCACCGTTGGGACCAACGATACCGATACGTGAATCGAGTTGTACGTCGAGGTCCACGTTGCGGAGGAGGGGGCGGTCGGGGGTGTATCCGAAGGCGATGTCGGACATTTGGACGATGGGGGGAGAGAGTTTCTCGACCTCGGGGAACTTGAAGTGCACAACGTAGTCGCTCTCGGGAGCTTCCAGGATGGGCATTCTCTCGAGCTTCTTGATACGGGATTGGGCTTCGGAGGACTTTGCGGCGTTGTAGCGGAACTTGTCGATGAAGGCTTGGAGATGGGCGCGCTCGGCCATTTGTTTTTCGTATTCGCGCTTGGCGTTCTTCTTGCGCTCTTCCTTGGTGGCGTAGAAGGAGTCGAAGTTGGCGCCCTTGTAGTAGTCGAGACGCTCGGAGTGTTGGTGGATGATGTCGGTGGCGACTTCGTTGAGGAATGCTCGATCGTGAGAAACGACCAGGATGGAACTGGGGTATGTTTGGAGGTAGTTAGAAAGGAAGGTAATGGATGGCACGTCCAACATGTTGGACGGTTCGTCCAGCAGGAGGAGATCGGGTTCGCAGAATAGGGCTCGGGCAAGAGCCAATCTCATACGCCAACCTCCGGAGAAGGTCTTCGTCGCGAATTGCTGTCTCTCGGGCGAGAAACCGAGACCAGCCAGGATACTGGCGGCGCGGGACTCGGCCTTGTCGGATTCCATCTCGGCGAGTTTGGAGTGGATGTCGTTCAGTGTGATGTCGAGACCCTCGCGCTCGTGGTCCAGACGGGCGGCATCCTTGGAGGTGTCTGCCATGGAGGATCGCTCTGCTTCAATGTCTGCCAGCTGCTTGGTGATCTTCTCCAGGTCGGCAAGGAGGCGCTTGCGCCATACGTCGGCGTCAAGGACGGCCTGGAGAGCGGGTGTGTCGTCTCCTGTGATTTCCTGCTCGACGTGAAGAATGGAGATATGGCTGGGAATGGCGACTTCTCTGCGACTGAGTGCACGCAACAGCGTAGACTTTCCGATACCGTTCTGACCGACAAGACCGTAGCGACGACCATACGCCAGGGTAAGGGAAGCGTCTGTCAAGATACGGTGACCACCAACAGAGATGTCGATGCTGTCCACCTTGATATCCTTGCTCTTGGACTGGGAGTCCGAGCCAAGTTGCAGAGGGTTGACAGCCATGAAGAACTCTTCGTAAGACATAGTACTGTCGGGCTGGTTGAGGAGACGGGATGATTCGTATTGCACCGTCTTCATCTGCTTCTTCTCCTGCTTGGCACGAATCTTGCGTTCGGCCTTCTCGAGCTTCTTGCGGTCGACCTTAGACTCGACCTTTCTGGCGTTAGCCGACTCCAAATCGACGTTACCACCGGCCAGACCCAGAGTCGAAGACATGTTGCGTTGGGAGCCGACATTGATGGCCTGGTCGAGCTTCTTGGCGGCAAAGGGCATCTGGCGACGCTCGGCGTCGACTCCATCAGCGGCACTCAATGAGGAGATGAACTTCTCGACCAAGTTGCGGATGGCCTGTTCATTCTCGGAGGTGAAGTCGCCCGATGCGGAGACGAGGAGCTCGGTGACCATATCGGCCGCTTCGGCCAGTGGTGACGGAGCGTTGGCATCTTCGACATAGGCCTTGGAGGCATGGGTCAGGTACCCCACGGAGTACTCTGATACCACGCGGTCGAGACCGGGGATCTGTGCTTGGAGTTCCGACTCCATTGTGGACAATCAGAGCGTGGATCACACTGGATTGAGCGGGGGGTGATGGACTCGGGATGGAACACTTGTCGCTGGGATGGGCGGGAAAGGTGCCAACTCCGTGCAGATACAGGGATCGAGAAGACGCAGGGATATAAGCAGCACTAGTACGTGTCCACTGCAATCCAGACGATATTTAATCGTGTTTCTACTGATATCTAAATGGATACCCACGGGCCTCCGTCATGTGTTGTAAAATTAGAGTTTTCCCGACCCCGGCGCCCCACGGGCACGTGATCATGGGGTATATACATTGTTTCATAGGGAGTGGCCACTGTCAGTTCACTCTCGTTGTATCAATGTATATGAGCTCGTAGAGACTTTCATGGACGAAATATTTACTCGGGCGCTATGAGCCCAGATTGGAAGCTCAGCAGCGGATGGTCAGCTAGACTCTCCCAAAACCCAATCTCAAAGTCTAAGGATTCCTGGTAAGGAAAGCTGGACCATTCGATAAGGTTCGGACTGCGGGGTGTCAAGTCTGATACAGGATGCATGGGCTCAGAAGTGACTGAATCCAGGAAGCTCTGAATTGTTTGCATGGCCTTGGACATTAGCTCATAGTTGGGTTCTTGGGGCCGAATGATCGATCCGGCTTGAATCTCCGCAGCGAGGATTGTCAGATGCTGCAGCGTTCTGGGTCGTGTTATACGGGGCATGCTGGGACTGGCCCGCTCGTTGAGCAGTGCGAGGAGGAGGATTCCTGCGGCGGGGGGACAATGATAGGCGACCTGCTCAAATTACAGTTACCTCAAGGCTACGGTACGAGCTGGGTAAAGAATTAGACACATACCTTCCACAAAAGACATGTTCCAGAGTTCGTGAGTTGGTCACGCAAGAGAACCATGTCCACTGTGACTGAGAGGATCTGTTCAGCAATGTCCACTAGGGTGGGATCTGGCTCAGTAGGAGTACTCAGTAGGAGGAGATTCAGCAGAAAGAGCGCGTGCAAGTGATTCAGCTGCACTGAGCCGATAAAGTCGCGTTCGAAGGTGCTCAGTGTACAGTCTCTGAGATTGTTGCGGAACTGGAAATGTGGGGGCAGTGAAGAGTAATTCTTTTCAGCTTGAGCTTTGATGTCGCTGGTATCGTTAGCACACACACAAACTCGTTCTATTGCAAAGTAAACTTACGCAACCCGTTGATAGAAAAGATCCATGTCACTTGGCCGGCTTCTCTGCAAGTTGAGTATGTCCTCTTTAACCCCAGCACACAATGCAGTCCACCGAGTCTCAGCCATATAGCTCGCTTTAGTCGACGGGTTCCAGCTGAAAGGATAATCGATCTCATTATCCGGCTTGTCAGAGGAGATAAACCAAACATCATCGGGCAGCGGGCTTGATGGAATCTGGAAATAGCAGAACTGTCTATTCATGCGAGGCGGTCGACCGACAAAGATGGCAACGTTTTTGTCCGCCGAATACACGCGGGCAAAGACAGCTTTGCGTAGCTCGGTCAAGAAACGAGGCGTGTCGGGCTTTTCATCGAGATTTTCATGGTAGCCTAGAGCATATATTGATGATATAACATCCCCGAGCTTTCGCCATGAATAGTAACCTGGACGTGGTAAGCGATGCATGAACGTAGAGCAACCACCTGCGAAACGTACTATGGTCCCCGTCTACATGGGAATGCACGATGAAGTTCTCATACTGTAAGCAGACTTGAAGGTCATTCAAACAGTCGAGAGAGATGGTAATCTCCAGAGCATAGTCTGCTAATCTCGTGCATAGCCTCCTAAGGCTATACTTTTTCTCCTCGGTCGTATACAGCGACGGGAAGAACTGAATATCCATAGTGGCTCGGACCACAGCTGACAAAAAGATCGCGAGTGTTTCCCATCGCATATTCTGATTAATGAACTGAGCACAGAACTCGGAAAAGGTAGAGTGCTGAGAGTATCCGAGCGGCTGGGAAGAGTTAGTGAGAAGAGATTTCGCATATAGCAGATGCCAATCTTCGTTTGTTGATGAGGGTGGTAGGGGAATGTTATCAACACATTGATCAACCATAGCCCCCATAATCGCAAGATTCGTTCCCCTTGCCCGCCACAGCTTTATTAGATCTTTCATAGCAGGCAAGGAAAACGTCGTCAAGAGCATTTTGAGGGCATCTGCACATCGCTGGACGACGAGATCATCGTCAGGTGGGAAGAGAGATGCTGTCCACGAAGCGGTGCTAGGACTCAGATGTGATGTAGCACTTTGACTTTCTGATGAAGTAATATGTTTGAATATGGCAACATGACTGGACGATCCAAGATACCCTGGGTTGGGATATCTATTTCCTCCTGTATGAGGTGGAGATGATGCTCGGGGTGATGGGTCTGGAGAGCTAAAAGTGGTGACGCCGAATAAAGTGGCATGGTCTTAGCCGATATATACTCGAACAGTACCAAGGATTAGGAACACCATACTGATGAGAAGGTTTATGCTCCATCACCGCATTGCTAGTCTTTCGTCTTTTGAACGGCGCACTTCTGTAGATACAAAGACCCGGTCGGTTGCCATCCCTACACCGATTGCAGACCGGCTGTTGATGATCACACGCAAGCTTGGACCTCCTGCAAGGCTCACATGCGGCTAATCTAGTTGCCATTGTAATCGCAGATATAATGGTGCAATCACAGTGTTGACGACCTTGAGGGTGGACCGGCGAGTACGGAGAGACGTGGGTAGCGTTGTCGGAGTCTCGGAGCGGGGTAAATGAGTAGGCCGAGACATACTATTTCCCGGACAGAAGAGACAATCAAACAGCCCAAGCTGATCTTGCCTGAGTAACTATTTTGGTCACTACGTAAGTGAGGCTCTGTAATTTTGCAATTGATACTAGTATTCTTTGGCAGGCTTGTTCGGACACTGCGAGTATATTACTATTTGAACTATAGAGTGGCCCTCATTGAACTCATACTAACTTACTTGCAGTGAGGCTCCTGAGAAGAACATACATCTAGCACTATAGTTAGTCGAACAAATCATAGACCGGCCAGAGTTATCCAAAGTAGATATAAAGAGGAAAGCGCGATAAGCGAAAGACAACGAGAAGCGGAGTACTCGGAGAGTTCGAGTACATCACTCCGATCTCTCCGGCATCAAGATAAGTGATGTCTTGTCCTGCCCAAACTATAAGAAAAGACTAGAACCCTTCACATCATGAAGTGCATCTTGCTGCAAACTCTCTAGCCCATAACTTAACCCCACAATGACACGCCTACAATCCACCGAGATCAAAGCCCTTCGAGCTGCGGCGCCTCCTCTCCCTCTCATCCCTGCCCCAGCCGTCTCCTCCGATGAGTACAAATCACCATACAACCGTACAAAACCACCAGCAAAGCACCTAAACCACCACTTCAGCCTCGAAAGCCGGAACTTTACCGGCTCAGCGTTGAAAAAGGGGTCCAGCCCAAGCGGTCCACGGAAGATCATCTCCTTAGGAACGGGACGACCAACAGCGGACTATTATCCGTGGAAATCTATAACCCTGAATGAGCCTACACTAAAAGCCAATCTAAAACTACCCAAAGATCAGGAACAATGCCACTCAGCGAACACCATAACCAAACATGACTTAACATACAACCTCTCAATCGCAATGAACTACTGCCTCGCAAACGGATCAGCACACTTACTCCGATTCATCACCGAGCACGTTGAACTCGTTCACAACCCCCCTTATGCAGATTGGGCAACGTTTCTCTCCTGTGGAGCGACTGCCGCGACGGAGGTGGCGTTTCGCATCTTCTGTAATCGCGGGGATACCGTTCTAGCGGAGCAATATACGTACCCCGGGACGCTGGAAAGTGCTGCGTTGAATGGGGTCCACGTCCAGGGGATTGAGATGGATGAGGATGGCTTGCGGGCTGATGCACTGGACGAGGTATTTTCCTCTTGGGATGATGCTCAGTCTCCCAGGCCGCGCGTGCTGTATACTATCCCGACGGGCCAGAATCCGACTGGAGTTAGCCAGCCGTTGGAAAGGCGCAGAGCTATCTATGATGTCGCAGAGAAGCATGATCTCATAATCATCGAGGATGATCCGTACTATTTCCTGAGGATGGGCCCTTACCACGGCCACGACCAAGACGCCTATAGGAAAAGTGGTACTGATACCAATCACTCTGCCTCAGAAGACGACAAAGCCGCTCAGATCTACCATTCCGAGTCCATCCCCTCCTACCTCACCCTAGACACATCAGGCCGCGTGGTACGTCTCGATTCGGCATCCAAAATCCTCGCTCCCGGGCTACGCGCCGGCTGGGTCACTGCACCCAGGCAAATCATCGATAAGTTCACCGCATACCAGGAAGTGAGTACTTTAGCTGTTAGCGGCCCCTCACAGCTAATGCTGTGGCACCTGCTCGATGAGAACTGGGGGCATGATGGGTTCACCGCATGGCTTGTTCATCTCTCGCGGGAGTATCGGTGGCGGCGGGATGTGCTCCTTGATGCTTGCAACAAGTACTTGCCCAGGGAGGTTATGCAGTGGAATACACCGGAGTTCGGCATGTTTTTGTGGGTTAAAGTTGACTGGAGACAGCATCCTCAGCTCAAGAGCTTGTCTGGATTGTCGATGGAGGAGGTTGGTGCGCAGATAGTCGGATTGGAGGAGAGGATTACAGCTAAGGCTTTGGAGAAGGGAGTGCTTGTGACCAGGGGGTCGCTGTTCGCTTCGAATCAGGAACGAATTGACCATCTGCATTTTCGGATGACGTTTGCGGCTGCGGAGGAGGGGGAACTGAAGGAGGGGGTGAGGTTGTTTGCGGAGGCTGTGAGTGAGGAGTTTGGACTACGCATCTAAGTAAATCAAAAGATACTTGAGAAGGCATTGTTAAACGTATTCTATCTGTCTTAAATATCGGTGCCTAGTTCGAGGGGGCGCTTCATGAGCTAGATGGCCTCGTCATGTAGTGTAGGGTTGGTACGCCTGGTGAGCGCCGGATGGCTAGTTTGGGGTTTGTATTCGGAGAGTTTATGTAGCAGCTAATAGTAGCAGGGTTGGAGAAGAGCATGATGGCCTTTTTATAAGAGCCTAATATACGAAATTGTAGAGAAGCATGTAGATTAACGGCCAAGGAGCTAGCTGAACGCGGCAAGATTGTCCCACTGTATGGCCGACGCGTTCTAGTGGTATCATCCAGAGCTTGTAGGAAATACTACCTAGAAATTCCTGTTTTTTCTAGGATCCAAATACTGAGACGCAAAGAGTTCGCCGTTTGTCGTGTCATGAGTGTCGTAGCAATCGTAAAGGTATCGGCCCTCCCACCCAGAAAGGAAAAGGCAGATTGGAGCGAATAGGTAGACATAAAGGAAGATCGTGTCGTGATGTGAGATGGTTTGGACAGAAGGTTCGAGTGTTGTCTGGCCGCGACAACGACCGAGAACCAAGGTAGCGCGCAGTTTCACATGAAGCAGGAGCGAGTTTATTCAAGCTACCAGAATTGGGAATCCTTAGAGCCCAATGACGGGAGATTATAGTCATCCAACCCAGTGAGGTCTTCCGGGAATTCCGGGGCCTGTATCTTGCTCTTTGCTCCAGATACATCACACTCAATAATGAGATTCGTTTCACCGGGTACATTCTTTGCTCCGATATATGTGCGTCTCATAAAGCCCATCAATGACGTGAGCGCCTTTATTTGCGTTGCCTCAGAAGCCTGTTGGGTGTGCCGGAGTAATTCTGCAAACAGTGCGGGCATGTAATAAAGAATTACAGCTTGTTCACCTTCCAGACCGCTCTGATTAAGCTCTTTGATGAGTTCAGCTCTATGATTATCTGGGAGGCTGAGAAGGGCCTTGCGGAAGCGTTCTGCCAAGTTGATATCTGCTACCCTGCCCATTGCATACAAACGCAAGAGGGCCCGATCTTGCTTATCATCTGTTGACAACTCTGGATAACCCTTGTCGGATAAGATACGGCCTCGATTTTTTAAGACTTCATTGTAGGCTTCCTGGATAGTGATCTCTTTGGATATGACACGCTTCAGGATCTTATAAGTAAGTAGGAATGATTGGCAGACCGGTTCAATCATCCGGACTGAGCCACAAGCATCAACATGCGCCCCTGCGCCAGCCACGTCGAACATGATCTCAAGATATTTCAAATCAAAGGCGCTTTCCTGGCCTCGAAGATCTTGAAGACATTGCAGGCTTCCTGGAACATTCTCACCTTGGGCTAGCTGTGGGATATTGAGCTTGGCGCCCAGCCTCACTCCTTGAATTACATCATCTCGTCGAGGAGGCGGCAGTAAATCCAATGGAGAGGGAGACTCGACGATATTCATTTCAAGAGCCCTTTCGAGGACCGTATCGTGATTCATTTCCTCGTCTGATGGAGTCTTGAGTTGGGCTCGCACCTCTCTAGCTAGATTATCGTCTTTACCCACGTCACCTATGACCAGAGCCACAATCAAGGCCATTAGCCAACCTGGCGTATCTCGGAACTGGTCAATGAATTTGCGAAATTCATTGAAGGTCTCGTTCTTTAATTTTATTGGTCCCTTTTGATGGCAAGTAAAGGTATGGTAATCTCTGACGAGCAGCCATCGCACTGCAAGAACATTGGTCAAGGTTCGATTCACCTCCGAGTAATCCTCGCCGTTGAAAAGATATCGGGAGGGGGTGAGGTTATGATCATTTTCATTGCTTTGTCCCTCGACGCCTGCCCTGGTTAGTAATCCTTGGGGATGCGCATCGTCTCCCTCAATATTTTGTTCGACATTTTTGAGTCTGTCGATTACCGGCTTGAATTGAAGATACACGAAATCAACAAGTTGTTCGTCACTAAGTGATTCGAACTTTCCCCTGTCGATCACTTCTTTCAACGATGTATAGGATGCCATATTTGTGCTGCAGATATTGCGAAGCCTGACGATGAGGCGCGCTAGGAACGGTAATGGCGATGAAGATTGTGAGTTTTTATTATTGCGAGGAGGCCGCACAGTTTGCTGAGGTGATGTTGGTGTTGGCATTGTGGATGGAAGTGGAACGCGCCCCAATTAAATAGTAGGCCTTGCCGTCCCTCGCAGCAGGATGTCCTCCACTCTTATATGGTTCCCGCCCGAGTGCACCGCCTCACACGCTAGGAGAGTTCCTCCTTGACTGGGGCCAGTTGTTTATGTCTTGGAAGATGCCGCGCAGTTCGTATTTGCTCCTCGGTGAGTAACTGCTTTGTGGGTAATGAAATATTCCTGTCTCAAAGTCGGTATCTCCCTAGCTTATGATGTCTGGATCGGATTCTTGGTGGGTATATGATCATGGGGCTCTGGCGGCAAATGGCCGCATGATAGGAACCAACTGACTGATTAACTAGTTATTTTAGATCGTCTAAGCAGGTAGACCTGGTGGGAAAACGCTGCCAGGAACAACAGATTTGATGTTCGATCTCCGCTGACCCACATCCACAAGCGTGAGGCTGGGGAGTGTTAAGCACGAGACACGAGGATGAACCGGGTGAAACGAACCAGGAGGTAGACTAGAACTAAAAAGCAAATGAACCGTCTGTCAAGGAGTTCAGCTGACGAGCCGCATCCCGCCCGATACCCGATTGGGAACTTGAGATATTCGGTCGCGGTGGCTGAAGCTGAGCGTATCGTTGTAGGACAGAGCAATTTGTTAGTAGGTGAAGAATTCCCCGAAGCCTTTAGTAGTACATAGTATGTAACAATCCACCTATGGAGCACTCCATCGGCTGTGGTGACAATTGACGATCTGTCAGATTCCTTCAGACAAATGGCTCAATACGTGTCACTGCATCTGCGATCAGCCAGTCAAGGATGTGTCGCTTTGGTATTTGTCCACCTTTGTTCAACTTGCTGTATTTCTTGTGTTTGGGAATCCCTAGATGGAATCGGCACGTGCCATGATCATTCTAGACTGACTGTTGTCTATTACCTGCTCACGGGATCAGAATGATAGACAATGGAACAGCCCGCCTTACCGTCTTAAGCCTCCCGTATTCTAGTAAGCTAGGCATCATTTTTATCTACTATCACAGACCCATCCAGATTATATAAGAAAGTAGACATCATATTCGCTCTAGAAGCTTATTTTTTTATCTCGCTATTTATACATCAAGAGTCATTTCCAACAACCCTTTACAGCCTCTTCAGGACATCATCCAGAACCTCCTGGGTAGTAGCCTTACCGCCCATGTCAGGAGAAAGGAACTTGGCCTCATCGAGGTTGGCATCAACAGCAGTGTAGATCTTGGCAGCGGCGGTCTCCTCGCCCAAGAACTCCAGCATCAGGGCAACACTGCGCAGAGTGGCAATGGGGTTGGCAATACCCTTGCCCTCAATGTCGGGGGCACTGCCGTGGCAGGGCTCACCGATAGCGAAGCCATCACCAACGTTAGCGCTAGGAACCAGTCCCAGACTGCCAACCAGGGCAGCGGCACCATCCGACAGAATGTCACCGTACAAGTTGGGGGCGACAATAACGTCGTAGTATTCAGGCTGACGGAAGAGCTTGTAAACCATGGAGTCGACAATCTGCTCCTCAACCTGGACGGAGGAGAAGCGGTCGGCGGAGAGGGCCTTGCGGGCGGTCTCACGGAAGAGACCGTCGGTCTGGGAGAGAACGTTGGACTTGTGGGTGATGGTCACCATGGGCTCGGTGCGGAGACCAGCGATACCAGCAACGCTGCGGATCTTCTGGCGACGGAGGGCAATTTCACCGGCAATGGTGGAGATGCGGGAGGAAGCATTTTCGGAGATACGCTTGATAGCCTCGGCAACCTTGCCATTGGGGGTCTCCTTGGTCTGCTCCTCCTTGACGTAGAGATCCTCAGTGTTCTCACGCACGATCACCAGGTCAATGGGCTTGCCGTCGGTGCTGCCGGCGGTAGTCTTGACGGGGCGGACGTTGGCGTACAGGTCGAGCTTCTTGCGGAGGGCGACGATGGGGGAGGAGTAGCCGGCGACCTTGGTGCTGGGGGAGCTGTGGAGGAAATGGTTAGAAGAAGATTGAGTGGTAGACGAGGACGAGGATATCAATGTAGCACCCACCTGACGGCTCCGAACAGGGCACCATCACACTCCTTCTTGAGGATCTCGACAGTCTTATCGGGGAGAGCGCTACCGGTGCGCTTGAAGGTGTCGAAACCCGCATCGAGATCGACGAAGCTGAACTTGAGGTTCAGGGAGGAGGGGAGAGACTCCAGAACCTTCCGGCCGGCCTGATGAAGGGAGTTTCATTAGAATTGGTGTTTCAAAAGTGAGCTATTCGCTGGGGTGACTCACCGGAATGACTTCTCGGCCGATGCCGTCACCGGGGATGAGACCTGCATGAGTGAAGATGTCAGCAACTAGACGGGCGCAGAGAGATCTTAAGAGGTATAGAGGAGCAATTGACCTATGCGAAGCGTCCTAGCAGCAGCAGCCATTGTGAATACCTTGCTAAAGGGGATGTAAGAAAGAGAGTTCCTGCTGGCTGAAGAAAAACATCCGCTTAACGGACGCCGTGATCGGAGGATTCCCGCTAGTTTAGCCCCATCCGCGGGGATGCACGTGATGCGCACCGACCACATATGCGCAAGTGGCGGGTCGGGTCTTCCGTACCACACTATATCGGAGTGTCCTCGGAGTACTCCGTAGAATGCTGCTATCGTCACACAATCTATATTATAGCGTTAAGCTGGACTTTCTGCTACTAAGGCCAATGTAAGTATGGCGGTAATTGGTCTTTGGTAGATTTCTTGAAACTGTCTTATTGTGACCTAATACAAGCCCATATAATTAAATATATCCTTAACTAGCATATCACTCCTAGGGAGACACTTCGAAATCGCATCGCTCCGAATTGTATGGAACAATATCACATCTTCGATGTAGCATACAGTACTAGAGAGCATTTACAGACGACTTCCTTTTGTCTTCCGCTTCGTATCAACCGGCAAATTGACATACTCCATCCATTTCTCCGACAACGCCAACCCACCCCTCCCCGACTTCTGACTATCATACTCCCCCCAGAACTTCTTCTCCTCCATGTACCTCTTCTCCTGCTCCATCAACCAGTCTGAAACTACTCTCGCCGTTTCACCCACCTCTTCAAGAGGAACCGTATGAGATGCCCCTTTCATAACCTCATCCCGAACCATCCCTGCCCGAACACCCCCACTACCCCCAAGCCCAGTGCCAACACGTAACAGTTTATCATCTCTGCGCGCACCGGGGGTATTGATATGACTTTTCTCTCCCCAAACAAATAGAACTGATGGCCGAATATAAGGCAAGAACTCGAACGCGAGACTTGTCCAAGGACAAGTCGTTACGTAGCTGGGATGGTTGTTGGTGCCATCTTTGGCTGATGTAGCTAGGTCAGGGCTGAGGAAGCGCTCAGCACTATCACTACTTATATCCTTTTTAGTAGTACCTTCATATGGCGTGATGTTAAAGCGCAGATATGTCCATGCTTCTTGAGCTTTGGTTGTCGTCAATGTCACTGAGTTTGATGTCACCTTTGCGCTTGACATCTCTCCGTTAGAAGACTGAGGATCAAACGGGTACAAAGCCGTCGGGACAGGCCGGAGACCATGTTCAATGTATTTTGCGACCGCACGAGAATCCCATCTGCGCCAGAAAGGGTTACTCCGGATGTGCTTTTCAGCTTCGGACTGGGACGGCCAGAGGTCGGGGCGGGTGCTGGCCCAGAGGGCAGGGCTGCGGCCACCTGGCTTGCTGGGGCTTTCGATTTGGATCATGGGCTCGAGGAAGATGAGGGTGTGGAAGAGACGGGGGTGGCTGAGGGATAAGTGGACGCTGGATTGTTGGTCAGACGGTCATTCTTTGGTAGTAGGGGAGTAAAAGGAAAGGTGCTTATGGTAGTGGGTGGGATGCGTACAATGACGAGCAGCTGAAACTGTGTGCTACTCCTACAATTGGAGGTTGGATTTGGTCTTGAGAATGAGTGACCATTGAGAGGAGGTCTCGGGAATGGTCGAACCAATTTGCTAGGAGAGAATCATTAGACTGGTTAAAAATTCGAGAACAGTGCCAGTAACTCACGGTCATCACCCAGTTTATCTTCATTCAAGACTCCACTGGCGCCTTGATTTGCGCAGTCTGCGAACCAAATGGCCTTGATCTTCACCTTGCTCGTTGCAAGAAGGTCGTCCCATAGAGGCTCGTAGCACTCCTGTAGTAGTATTAGTATGTCCTTTGCCCAGCACGAATGTAGTCTACTGATAGCACGCTTCCCGACCTTAGGAATCCCATTTGCATGTCCCGCGATAATTGTGATATCATCCGATCCAGGGTGGGGATTATTGAGAGGAACGTATTGTTTGATTGCTAACTGTAGTTTTTGACCACTTCTGACTCCATGGTGATATTCCCGGAGAGAGGGACACTGAATGGTGTGCTCAATAACTCGAAAGTGAGATGTGCTCATGGTCGCAACTCAGGCTTCACGCATGAAAATCAAACGAGGAATAACTCTCCGAAGGGATCAGAACATGAGTGGGAAGTTGGATTGGGTAGTGTAAGCATCGTTTCATGGCTGACCAACTTATAGTAGCTTACTGTATAGTGCTTATTCCAAGCCGCGCAGCTAGCCAGTACTAAGCAGTAGATAGGGCTCACGCCCGACGTGGTGTGGGCTGTTCGTATTTTAGTGTGTAACTAGCAGGCTACCTAACTGGCTAGTTCGTTTAACTGTTGGGCTAGTAATTACTATAGTAGGCCATTCAATGAAAATCTGAGAATGTGCTGGCCTTATCACAGCCGATTAACTAATACCTGTCAGCACAATATCGTTCTTTCCCGTACACCATGTGTTCATATGATCGGCCTGCAGAGGATTGGAATGGCCTAGTTATACGCAACCCAAACAGCAGACCTTGGATATAAAGGTGTACCTTATCATCAGTCAAGATATAAAGCTGACAGCCCAATTGACCTTATATAAGCCTATTACATTGCAGACCCATGGAAAAACTATATCCTTTACTCAATAAGACGCTTAACTGGCGTTAGAGCTTCTCTATGCTCAGATACAGCTCGATAGTAGGATTGGCCCCATCTTAATATATGAGTATCCTCTGTGAAGCACCCTCTTGACAATTTCTTCGTCTACTTAAGCAGACAAACTAGAGCCCCTGGACATTACAATGGAAATGGCTCATCTGTATTAACCACTGCATATTCTATCTGGTAGATGGCTAGTTGTATCCCAAAGGAAATCATCATTTCATCATAACGAGAGGAATTAGTTTTGACCAGTCGAGCGTACTCTCAGTGACGACCCAAACCGTCTATTCGGAATTATCCCATCCGTCTCTTGGCGCCCTCGCTGAGTTCGAATTGGTTGTAACCGTACAGTTTCCTTTGCTGCATGATTTATTAGTACACTGCTGTTTCGAGCTTGGAAGATTGATATAACTTGATGGCAGAAACTGACCAAATGAAATTCTTGACTGGCCACCAAATGAACCAAGGATCTTGCGTGGCTCGTCCTTCTAGTTGGCAACGTCGGCGACGTCAGCAACATCAGCAACATTGGCAACGCCAGCAACACCAGCGACGTCGGCAACATCATTACTGCGAGCACGGTTGATGCTGTTGGCGACATCAGCAACATCAGCGACATCGGTGAGATCAGTGAGGTCAGTGAGGTCAGTGAGGTCAGTGAGGTCGGTGAGGTCGGTGAGGTCGGTAAGATCAGTAAGATCAGCGACATCAGCAATATCGTTACTGCGAGCACGGTTGATGCTGTTGACGACATCAGCAACATCAGCGACATCAGCGACATCAGTGAGATCAGTGAGATCAGTGAGGTCGGTGAGATCGGTGAGGTCGGTAAGACCAGTGAGATCAGTGAGGTCGGTGAGATCGGTGAGGTCGGTAAGACCAGTGAGATCAGTGAGATCAGCGACATCAGCAACGTTCGCAACCTTAGCACCGTTGATGCTGTTCGCAACGTCCGCGACGCCTGCAACTCCGGTAACATACTCTTCTCTCTTGCGCATGGGGCCAGCCATTCCGAGCCCAGCAAGGAGGGGCACAAGGGCAATGGAAACCTTCATGTTGGGTGGATTGTAGTTGTTAGACGAAGGAGGCTGATGGAGAAGGGCTTGAGTGAGGTAGTATGGTAACAGGCGATGGGCCAGACGACAATGAGATAGCTTGAGTGAATACTTTTCTTCCACGGGAGCTATCGACCCTTTTATGGCCCCTGGCCGTTTAGAATAGTAGTATGTAATCTGCAATCCTGAGATATAATGTAGATTGCAGATCTTCGCTATGCTATGCAAGGCTGGAATTGACCGCCATGTAGTGTGACAGACAGTCACTATCTCCTTAGCTTAGGTCGTTAAGTGACGAGAGGGTATCTTGGTCTATCTGCAAGAAATTGATACCGTACTGATGGGTTGCATCAAGGTAGAATGCCTGTCTCATGCATTGACTATAGTTAGCATCTTAGGATGATCATCGGGGAAAAATAGAACTTATTGTTGCCCATTTACAGTATAAGCAGGAAGTAAGTTACGCAAGCATTCCAAGACTAGAAATGACGTGATGCGAATTAACTGGGGCTACTGTCAATTGTCGCCGCTAAGACCACTACACAGGACGTCTGAAGACCTCCCTTTATTATGGGAGTATGGTTGCTGACTTGAGAATGAGCTTCCAAGGGGTAGACCTACTTCTATTCCGCTTCATAATCATACGTATTATCCTCACTTTTCATCTCCTACTATGGTTCAGTTCTAGGATGATCGGTACACCTGCTTTTCATCGGCTACCGGAAGTCGCTCATTGCAGAGCTCTCTCTACACCCCATGCAAGGTTCACGCAAGCCACCGCCTGTCTTTGTAGCAGTGTGAGTCGAGTGATGTGGACATGCCGCATGGTGCATGATAGAGATAGGGTGAAGGGAATGGTGTGAGGATTCTATGTATGAATCCTAGAAAATGGCGGAATCGGAGCTTTTACTAGCAGGAAGCCACATAGAATGTGATTTATGGTTACTAGCCTTTTATGACTTGCAGCAGCACTTGGGGAACAAAATCTAAATTGACTGGAATCCTCTTGCTGAAGTCTTAATTCAACAAGATGTCATAGATTTGACGGTTAAATGTCTTGAATATGATAGTGACATATAGTATATCAAGGCTTGGAAATATGACGACGTCGCTAAGATTCCTTGGAAGACATCAAATAGTGGCAGCAGCAGCAGCAGCAGGAGTAGTAGAAACGATCAGCGAACCCTCTAGCATCTCCCGCAGATCCATCTCCTTAATCCATCTGCTATCAGCCAGAAAATTGATTATCTCGGGGGCCCTGTCCGATAACCCGAAAAGATGAATACATTGGTGATAGATAATAATTCTCCTTCAGACATCAAATACACCGCTACCTCCTCCGCATAACAGCCAACATCTCAAACTCCATCATCCCTACATCCTCAGGGATACACACTTCCGAGAACGACGAATTGCGAAAGCACGGCTCATAATCGACCCAATCTGCACGAGGTCCTAACCACAGAATCATCTGTACTGACGACTCAGGTCGATCGCCATACATCTCGATATACTTGCTGACCAGCTTCGGTTCACGAGGGTAAACAAACATCCATGCTGCCGCCTGCGGCGCACGCGCATACAGATCCCAAGTTCCGGTGACCACGTCGAAGTCCTCTTCTGCAAGGTAGCGGTTGACTGACGCGGAGACTTCTATTCCCGTGATTTGGACGTTGGGGTGGTTATGTAGTATCAGAGCTTCCAGGAGACCGGATCCACAACCTATTGATAGGGTGAACGAGGGCTTTTTAGGGAGGAGCCATGCTAGGTGGGCTATTAGGGTGCTGGAGATAGATAGACAACAATTTGGGAAGGGGGTTGGTGCTTCGGTGAGCTGGGTGGAGAGTTGAGGGATGTCCATTTCTTTTTCTCTTCGTTTATTCCCGTGTATATCTTTTTTTTTCTATTATTTGGTTTATTTTCGGGAAGGTTTGTGCTATAGGATATCCATAGCTGCGGTGACACAAGAGGGGAACAAGAAGCGGTGGAATTCGAATCCTGAATACATGAATGAAGCTTTCCGTTCGGGAGAGGGTCATCGGCCCGGATTTACTTTGTGGATGATGTTTGCTTGTTGGCCTATCAGGTCCTAAGGAAATGCCCCGCGGAATAATAAGTGGGTACTGTGGTAGGGGAAACAAGTATCAGGCATCGCATCCAAAGAAGCCCCTGGCATGTTCAGCAGTAAGGCACTATGGATCGGACCATGGGATTTCCTGTCAAAGTCATTCGGTGACATTGCTTGTTGTGCACAGGGCAGAAGCCCCACATCATTTGTAGACGGCACACACAATAGAACGAACTATTTTTCGTCCTTGTGCCGCGACTTTTCAGGTTAGGGCTAAGGTAAGAGAATACTAGGAGACAACCACCGCGATAGGTCTAGCATACTACGTATTCAACTAGTAACTTCCGCCTTGACGTCACTTCTCTTCTCTTTCTATCCATTATCAATTATTTATCCCCACCCACCATACTGCATGATTGAATGAACGCGCAACGTATGTATTCAAGGGACAGTGGTGGTGACAGCCCAAGTCACTGTAGAACATGACCAGTACATTCTCAGGCCGAGTGAAGGTTTCCGGCCTGTCATCTTTGATTCTATTTAGCCCCGCAGGTAATTTCTGTCACCGTTTCAATTCGCCAACCTTCCCTTTCCCAGCTTCCGCTCATATTCCGTAAGGACAATTAAACCACCAAAATTACCTGCATAACCCACTTAATATCCCCAATTGATCTTCTGATTGGTATTCGTCTTCATTTGCAGATCCCCACACATGTCACGATTATATTGTTCGAAGCTCTTCGAAGGATCCTCACCCCTTCCTCTTTTTCATCAAATTTTGTTCTATTAGTTGGTATATGACTGTGCTTTATGGTAGCTATGAAGGTGTCCAGTGAGATATATGACTAGCCGTACTTAACTAGAACAGCTGAGACTTGTATTGACAAGACAATATGAGGGTGGTTCAATATGTCTTAAGTCTGATTGAAAACGTTTCTTGATATTTAGATTTTCACAGCATAAACAAACGGTGACTTGAGTACCAAATAAGCTAACTAGTATATCCTGGACTTATGCGCCGGACCTGGAAGTCCCCAAGGCAAAGTACTGCTTCGTACAGAAGACCATAGCTTGAATTGCAAAATGCCTTTTTGTAGGACATGTATCTATTATTTTTCTAAAGTATAGTGCAAGGAAGGAAAGCAGCGACACATATGGGGTCACGTTCCCCACGAGTATTCTTTCCTATGCTCGCCCCATATAGAGGTATCGATATGTTGCTCTGTGAATCTATGAAATAAATCAACTCATTGGGGTATCTTGTGGTCTCTACACCATATACTCCAAGATAAGTCTATGTAGGTTCTTTTACTTTAGTAATCCACTTTGCATGATCATTTCCATACTTGGCCACGATACCTTCCAATATCCCAATGGATGATACGGGATAGTGTTCATCAGGTCTTCGCATAGGTGACAACTGAAGCAGGAAAACAGCTACTACTCTTACCAGCTCAGGCATCTAAAGTAGTAGGATGAAAGCATCCAAATGACATAATATATGATATCTAGCGAAAGGAGGGTAATGTTTTTCTCAACACTATTAACACACAATAATAAGATTATCTTCTAAAGCCGTGGCTTCTTCAGTACTCACCAACTCCAATCCATCGTGAGAGGCATAAGATCGTGATATGTTGTCATTACTGTATCCGAAAGACGACCAAGAATTCTGCCCATCCATTAAACGCCATAAGCCCGACCCATTCCTTGATTACACCAACCCAGACCAAAAGAACACCGACCCGTCATATGAACGCAAATACGGCAAAGATAACTGGTTCAACGAGAGGCAGGATCAGGGGAGTATTAAGCCTCTCTTACCCATTGATAGTATCCCCAACCGCAGACGAGCACCACCATCGCAGCAAAATCTTCATCTCGGGGATGTTCTGTTCCCAGAATGCAAAGCGTTTAGATTGACGGATCACCAGGTTGGTGCCATTATGATGGCCCAGGAGAATGCGAGCATGTCTTGGACCCACGAAGGAAATGAGTAGCACCTTTTGGGCAAGTTAGCCACAGGTATTGAGATGAGACAAAAGAAAGAAATCATAACACTTACCGGACTGACTTGATGGGCACGATACTTTTTGGAACGGAGGCAAGTAATCATGATTCGACACATACACAGGATCTCCCCACGGGTAATCTGATCGTCGTTCGCGTCCACGCTCTCGAGTAACAAGCATTTCATTCGGGGCCCACCCGGAATGCCAGTTATACCACCCGCGCACCATTCGAAGGGATTCTCAGTGTCAAGCTCGCAGAGGGAACATGGAAAGTCAATGGGCCTGGAGACGAATTAGTCATTTGTTCGCCGCAAATTACGTTGGGTCTGCCCTGTGGATGGGAATTGATCGTACTGTCTGGGACTGTGATACCAGTTATCACTGCCAAGACGTATGGCACTGGTAATATAATGCCCGAAGTAGTAGCTTAGGATGTGTGCCTCGTCCATTGGATCCGTGGCTTCCTCCGGACTGGAGGGCGAAAACTCCATCTCCTCATCAGGGTTCGGAAGGGGCTTCTTGTAGGGCCAGAAAAATTCAGAGTCGAATAATGGTTCTCCATCGGCGGACAGGGGCATGGGGAGGATCTGAATGGGGAGGTCATGCACGTCTTTGTGCTGATATCGATTTTCCCGACGTTCGGAGATGGCACGCGCGATCTCCTTGATAGTATTTCGACGAGATTGGTGTTCCTTGCTTTCCAGCATTTTAGCAAGGTATTCTCTTCTAGACTACCGAGAACGGACGCTAGGTAAGGTGGTGGGGGAACTCTAGGAAGAAGGAGGTAGTTGGAGGAAGGGAGGAGAAGGAGTAGGTCGATATGGCGGAGGATGTTGATTAGATAAAGGGCGGTCCCGGGGCAACCACCCTCTTCTTTACCGCCCGCAGTATTATGGGCGGTTCCAGACTATAGCCTACTCCAACCCTCAGAGAGACGCACGGACATCTTCCCCTCTTCGTGATGGACTCCAATCCATTCACTGGCGGGTATTCCAAAATGATACACTGTCTCCTTCCCACCTTCACAAGACCCCTGCCAGTGCTGCAGCGTAAGACTTCCACTGGCCAACACCACAAGTAGTGAAAGTCGCCAGCCTTGGTGGCTTCCCTTTAAATAGCAACTATGGACTAGCAGGCCCCCGTAGGCGCCTTCCTTCCCCTCACCCCTCTACAACTTCTGGATTCTTCGCCTTGAGTTTATTGTTAGCCTAGCGCTTTTGCCAAGTACCTCAAAAACGATCTCATGGCTACTACCCGGTGGTAGTCACTAGAAGTCATGAATAAACCAAACGGAGATGTTCCCGCGACAGCCGCTGAGTGGGCTGTTTTGGCAAAGAAGAATGGTGTCCTAAATAAACTCATCCACGCGGAAGAATTGGACTCTGCTTCGAAAATCAAATTGCGTCAGTATCTGCTTCTGCGTATCCTTCGCAAAAGATCACAGAGGACTAAGCTGGATCCCAAGCGGCTTGGCCTAGAACCGTGGATGAACCAGGCTAAGGGCATGCTTCAGTCTTATCCGTCCTGGAACATCTATCGCGAGAGCTTCAGGGGTAAACTTGAGGAAGGGAACTTTTTCTTGGTTAAAAACTCACAGGCCGAGGCAGCGAAGGTCAAAAGCAACGAAATCTCCAACAATGTCATCTTCTCCCCGGTTTCTAAGCGCACGCGCCAAAACACACGCAAAAGACGCGAAGAGCACACACCCGAAGAGCACGCAACGCCGACCAGATCAAACCTGCCTTCTGTTGAGACGCTCACCCTCAATGATGACACTACTTCAAAAGCGCCCGTAACCCCAGGAAACGAGGAAGACGAAGATATCTTCCCGGAACCGCCGTCCGTCTCTACGGGAGGCTCTCTAGGGCCCGAGGAGCTCCTGCGCGAGATGTACCCCGCAGTCGATGATGAGCAAATTGTAAATGTTGCTCTAGTCAACTTTCTCCAAGCTCTAACGGATTATTTCCCTTCGCTTAAGAGCTCCTGGACCATCCACCGCAAGCCGCTTAAAGCTAAGTTCAACGCTGCAGAGTATGAGGCAAGGACGGACGGTTATCTGCGAGGCAAAGTCGATGGGGAGGTGCGTGCTTTGATCGAAGTGAAAGCAGCACTTCGGGAAAATTCCCGGCTTGAGATCTGTATGCAGGAAGGTGCACAGATGGTCGCTTGGCTTAAGAATTATCCCAAAACACCTGGGAAGCTCCCGTTCCGGTAAGCAGGCCATTACTGACAATGTTGTATCGTGTTTTCAAGCTCAACTCGGATTAACAGTCGTTTTCACATCTCCCAAGATAGACATCAGATCTGGCTCAGCTTTGCCGAGTATGACGATGAGTACATCAGATACATTGAGCATGGATTTCAAGATCCAGGACGTCCTCGATCATTCCTGACGATTCATGAATTTGGTCCATTTAATACTCTCAAAGAGTCACATATGACTGAACTTGCAGTTCTTCTCCTTGCGCTTACTCTGCGTGCTGATCACGATCGTAAAGAAGAGCAGGAAAGCAATCCATTCGATAACTAAGGATTTGGTAGTTTGAGGATAGCTGGGGAAGGAGCTTGCAAGACTTCTGCATTTCGCCACGCAAACCGTCACTATGGCTAGACACATCAGGACAGGAGACACTTCCCCAACATTATGCATCATGCGGGGTGCATCAGAGTTCCTAGGTATCATTAGCCAATAGCATAGGTTTCACTACAATCAGTGGTGTTGTTAAAGAGGAATTGTGACTTGCGCGAGCCTTGCATAAGGCGGGGAAAGATTCCGCGGGAACTTTGGAAGAGAGAGGCCAATAAGAATCGAAAAGTATACTCTTCGTCGATGATGCGGGATAGTCAGGCAGCAGTAATCAATAATTCATAACATAAGGGATAGGGTTTAGTTCTA